CGAGAGGGTTAGGGGTAAAATACACAACATTGTTTGAGGTTCTGTTCTCTTTGATCACGATGCATGTGAGGCTAGAAACAACATGTCCTCATTTCTATCTATCGGGCACATTTTGAGCTGTCATACTATCGAACTCGACCACGGTGTCACAACCTGACTCGAGGTATTTAACTAGATAGGCTCCTAGGCTTCCAATAAACCATCCTCGCTTCTTTTCATCTCTACTGTCTTCATCGTGCGTCGAAGAAGTAAATGTAGCGCTTCAGATCAGCAACGTTGAACAAAGAATTAACCACAAAATACATATGTATGTACTGTTTTCATCTTTGATTTTTGTGTACAGGACACCTCCAGCCCCATAGGGCAGGAATTCCGATATAAACCATGTAGTATTCTGGGGATACTATGTTGTCATGAGGGTTTGGGCCAGAGGCTTCGAATTCTTCTGATTGGCTCTCAATTACGCTTCGCGAGAGGTCCTTGGTGCCACGAGACGCCCTGCAGAGCCGCGCAACTGAGGGTTTTGTAAACCCAGCCGCGCCGTTTGTGCACGTACCAATAGGAGTTTCTATCCAAATTGGGTAGCTAAAACCCTCTAGTGCGGGATGGCGGACAAACGGAGAAACATGGACACCCTCGAATCACCACTTTGCAAATAATAAATTTGAGATTCGAACCTACATCTATTCTCTGATTTGTACCTTCCTGCGAGTGTTGAGGGTAGGAGTGTTTCTGGCTGTAGAGGTAATGGAAAAAAAAAGGTTTCTGACTCTAGTAAAGATAACACCTGCAATATTGAGGTGTAGGGTTTTTTTTTTTATCATACCACTTCACACCCCGGCCCTCTCACTGCACACCGTCTTTCACTTTTCACAAGGAGCGCCAGCAAAAACCTCAGCGTTCACGACCAGACACAAACAACTCTGAGGAATAAACGACTGAATATAATTTAGATACAAAACGGCGTCAAGCCAAAACCCCACCCCACTCCTATTTTTTCCGTCCCCACTACATTTATATATATATACGAAGCTATTAGAAACAACACCCACCGCTTAACCAGTCCAGAGAGTAGGGCCGGGGATGGTGTATGTGCCGGTGCCCTGGTAGATATCAAAGACGATACCGGGAGAGGTGGCGCTGTAGGCACCAGGGAAGGCAACCTTGGTTCTGTTCTCAACGTCAGCATTTGAAGCTCATGGGGAAACATACAACTGAGAGGACTTACGAAGGACCAGTCGAAGAGCCACCACCAGTAACGGTGATCTGGAAGCACGAAGGATAGAATTGGATTCCAGGGTACGCATACGCTACTCCCATTAGTTTCCATACACAGTACTAGTGGAATGAATAGTGCACATACCAGAGTGCAGCGCAATCAACTCATGCCTCACAATGTACTCTCCGGCCGCCAGACTCGCCGGCACCGTGAACGAGTACGCCTGCCCGGTAATAAACGCATCACTCGCCCATGTGCCATCTGACAACTTGCCCGCCTCCGCAACCTTAAACCACACTGCGGCGGTGCCCGGCGAGTAGCTGCTGCACGCGCCTGAGCACTTGGCCATATACGTGATGACCGGCCCGTGGTGGCTGTCCGGCCACGTAGTCCAGTGGAGCGAGATCGATGATCCGGCGGCAACGGGGGCAGTGAGCGGGGCGGGCGCGGACCCGCTGCCTAGATAGCCGTTGCACTGGAGGTCGACGGAGGTGAGGTCCTCGACGGGGCCGTTTCCGGGGATCTTGCGCACTATGCGCTCGGGGGGAGTGGAGTAGTAGGGGTCGCTGTAGGGGAGGTAGCCAGTGTAGGTTGTGCCGCCGATGGTGAGGTCGGAGACGTAGCCGTGGGCGAGGGTGCCGGAGGCGTTGAGGAGGGCGGCGGCCGCCGCGGCGAGGGAGAAGGTGTATTTCATCGTTGGGGAGTGAAGGAGTGGAGGATGATGATGAGGATGGTGAATGGAGTTGGGGAGTGGTGAGGGCTGTTATATAGACCTTTCTTTTTTTTCCCACCCTTTCTTTCTCCTCTTCGTATAAGGCCTTTAGTGCGAAGGGGAGTCTGATAGTGGCATACTAGGATTAAGGAAGCTGGTGCTGTAGTTCCGATGGTGATATTGGGTTTTTTTCTTGGCTCAGGTACTTGATAATATAATATCGCCGTGTTCATGTTCGTCTGGCCCCGTGGGGTAGCAGGCACTCCGGGCCCGAATGCCTGCGGATATTTTGTGGGAGGAAAAATATATTGAAAGGCCAAGCACGCAGGCGCGAGAAATGATATTGTTGGCGGTTTTGAAGAGATCAGCACTAGCATTGGCATGGCGCTGACTACATGTAGGTAGGTAGCTTAATTTTGACTGTGATTTAACTCTAAAACGTCGGTTGTTGAAACAGGCACGCCTAGTAAAGACTCTAATATCTAGTAGTCAATAATCGCACTCTCTGTGTATGATAGGGCAGGTGTAGGCTACCCCCTCGTACGTTCTGCTGTCTGCTCTCGAGCCTTCAAAACGGTTGTCGCAGCTAGAGAGAATCCAAGAATTCGGACATTCGATCATTCCCAGCAACCAATCCCTGCACCTATCAACCTGCGACACACACACACATAAACACAACAAACACTCAGATCCCCACTTTCCATAACCGTAGTTCTACTATTGGTGGTCGGCCCCCCCGCAGGATAGTACGGTCCAGCCCTAAATTACAGGCACACATCCCTCATCCCCATCCATCTCCTCCCCTCCCCTCCCCTCCCCCATTCCCATCCCCTATTATATCCCCCATCCTCATCCCCATATTAGCATACCACCACCCTCACCACCGGCACCGCTGCTGCACATAGAGTAGGTACATATATCGTGCAATCCCCCTTCCGCCCCCCCCCCCCCCCACTGACCCTCCGTGTCCTTCTCTCGGAGGAACAGGAGGGGACTCCCCAGTAAGCTGCCATTCACGGATTCACCCGCCCGGCTAATCGGGCGCGCGGTGCCTAAACAATGCGAACCAGAGGCAGCGCCAAGAAAATAACTTGTCGGTAACTGCAGCGCGTCGTTCCGGGAAACGTCTTGTCGTGGAAAGCCGCCCCGGACTTTCCACCAACCTGTCTTCTAAATACACCGAGATGGCCCCGGCTGGGAGAGGTGGGCCAAGATGTTTTGCAATCTCACAGCAGAGAGGTGCGTTCTAGTATCTTCCCTCTCTACTACGTATATTACATGTAGTTCTGGGTCTGGGTGCACCGCTTTGTCAACGCCTTATGAAAAACGCGATCCGTCAGCAATACAGAATACCATACCCACACGTGATGCCCGCCCCCCCCCCCAACCCCCCCGGGAATTGCAGCCAAAGTGGGGAGGAGTATTTTGACAGATCTTATTGAATCAAACCAGGTTGTTCTGCTCCGGCTCCAGTTGCGGTGCTACACCTCCGCCGGCGAGTCCGAATGTGCGCGTGAGGACCGTCAATAGGGAGAGTTGGCTATAGCCTTTGTTTTTCCCTTCTCGTGATCACAGGAATCGGAATGTTTCAATTGTGTCGAGAGACGCCAAGACCTCGCTTGTATCTACTTTGGATTATTTACTCCAGTAACCGCTCACCACTCATCACTCGCGCCCGCACGTGATGACACCTACTAGCCATTACGCACCTTCGACCCAGTGCGCACGAGTGATGGTTGCACCCACCGCAGCAGTGCGAGTTCCCCCCACCCCTGCTTCAGCAACGGGATATATAGCATTACTTGGGCTATTGGCTGCAATTGGCCAATTGGGCTGACCTAGTTATGCGTTAGAAATTTCGAAAGCTCATATGACCTGGACGGGATTACAGAAGCACTGGTTTTCTCCGGATCGTGGGTATGTGCTACTTTAATTGCATCCAGATATGTGTTTGTGATTTCAAGTGGAGATATCCGTGGCCGCTATGATTTGATAATTGTTGATATCGATAGCTTACGGTGGTGATCTTTGGCGCCAATGGCACTATTGTAAGTCTTGGGAATATATTATAGTTTGACTCAATCGCTTTATCTCAGATTAAGATGGAAAGTGCTACTAGTAAGCAAATATAGATAACAAGAATCCACCAGATCAGCCTTCAAACTCAAATCCCATTACTCGCACCAACTCAAGAGTATGCCCGGCAGACATGTACACCCGCAGGAAAAAAGTGAGGAAACAACGAGTGCAACCAATCCGAACCCCAATGAAAAAGTGAAAATGGAAATGAATAGAAGTAATATGACTACACAATGAGATACAGAATAGATACTACGGCCTCTGAACTATATTTACCACTTTTTATGACTTCCCTTGTTCTTTACTACTGCTGCAATTCTCTTTGGTATGCTGTCAATGATTTTATATACATTTCCCCAATCTAGCCTTTCCCACTCTTCCCTAGCTTGGGCTTCAATAACTTTTATGTTTTCATTCAGAGTAGCCTCCCTTCGCTTTCCGGACTTGTCAAAAGGCATGGCTAGGGAATACTCGTGGGGCTGTATTGCGGGTGCGGGGATGTCAAGTTAGACGCACTCGTTGTCACGCTACTCGTTGTTTCCTCACTTTTTTCCTGCGGGTGTACAATCAATAGATCCAGACAGCCCAATCCCCCGGTTCGAATTGCCCGCGAGATCTCGATAAAACGTTTGGAACGTTGCAAGGTAATTCTTCACCTAGAAAACTCTTCCACGGATCCCCCCCTCTGCTGATTCGTGGGATCGACCTTAGTTATGATCGTAGCCCGAAGTGCCTTGTGGCCAGCTCGCTATAACCTTTATCGTGAGTACGGGTAAGCCACCTATGAGGTATATATCACGCCGCCTGTATATCACTCTCCCCGTTTCCGGGTACCCTCAATTGGTCGTGTAATCGATAGATGTAGAGTACATGTCCGTCGGCGATGGTTGCGGCGAGAGAGAGAGAGAGAGAGGGGGGGAGAGAGAGACAACAAGCTGGCAGATGCAAAGAAATGGAAAGACAGGTTCGTTTTTGGTTTTTTTACCCCGCATGGTGCTTTGGGTATCAACATTGATGATTCCATTACTCTTCAGAGAAACGCCCCCAAGTAGCTGTAGGTAGGAAAAGTTACAGTATGTACTAGAGAGGAGGGAAAACTAATCACACATTAGTCCAGTACGGCATTGTCAGAAGAAATCAAGATCGCTTTCTTTTGTACCTTGAGGACCCGTCAAAGGCTACATTGACAGTTTTTGTTGTACAGTTGTGGCTGCACCCGCGTAGAATTGGATTCCCGCCGCCGAAAAATGAGCCCCCTTCCCATAGAAAGGCGCCGCACAACATGAATCCAGGCGGAAATTCGAAATTCTTAACGGACGACCACTTTCCCCGACACAAAGCACCGTTCATCCATCCTTTCCCCAGCTTCTCAGCAATCATGTCGACATCTGAGCCTCCATCCAAGCGCATTATGCTCGTGTGGAGGGACGACCCCAGTCCGGCCGCCCCAACTGTCGCCCCTACTGTTGCTGAACTGCTTCATAGGCTCGAGGCCGCTCCGTACATCAAGACTGACCTGGACAACGCCGAGAGTCTTGTTGCGGCTGTCCCTACTATCGCTGCACCGCCCAATAGTCCCGAGACCGTTCCGTACATATTCACGACTGAGTACGACGCCCAAAATCCCGGTAAGGCTTTACAGTTGAAGCGTTCTGTCGATGGGCCGCTTGTTAACGACTCTACTCCATCCCATCACTTTTGCTAACTCTTGCTCATAGCCTGCACCGAAGACGGCGGAACTAGCGTTTGGTCCATGTATGGACAGTACTTTGACGTTCCAAACGACCCAAAAGAGATGTTTCTGTTCTTCAGAAGCCTGTTTGACGACGTTTACAGGACAGTGGCAGCTGGAGCGTTTTTAAGCATTCGCCAGCTCGCTCTCCTCCACGGTGCCCCGTTCCTCCTCGGCATACCCGGCAAGCGCAAGGCGTCCGCTATCGTTGAGCAGGAAAACCGTGTTCAACCGCGTGTCGAAAACTCTGCTCGTCAACCTGCTGGGCCGCCATCTATTCGTCAACCTGCTGGACTGAGGTCTGCTCATCAACCTGCTGGACTGTCGTCTGCTCGTCAACCTGCTAGACCGCAGTCTGCCCGTCAACCTACTGGACTGTCGTCTGCTCGTCAACCTGCTAGACCGCCGTCTTATCGTCAACCTGCTAGACCATCGTCTGCTCATCAACCTGCTGGACCGCCGTCTGCTTGCGAAACTGCTGGACCGCCGCCATCTCCTAGTCAGCCTGCTGGACCGTCGTATGCTCATCAACCTGCTGGACCGTCGTCTGCTTGTGAACCTGCTGGACCGCCGTCATCTGTTAGTCAACCTGCTGGACCGTCGTTTGCGTTTGCCTTGGCCAATGGAGATCGCGGCGGCGCCAAGAGAACCCGTCCAGCCCCGTCAGTTCCCTTCCGGCGTATTGATAGATACCAACTCATACCACCGTCCCTAGACCTTGGGGACTTCACTGGCGTTGCGGACGCTTGTAGTACTCTTGGGATATGTGACAAGGTTATCAAGGGGAAATATTTGGAGGGCCTTATCACTTTCGATGGTCGGTATAGTAATACTAAGCAGTCAATACCGAAGTGTGAGACTTGTGCGAAGTACAATAAGCGGTGCAATCTGTTAGTTGGAGGGTGGGATAGGTACGTTAAGGTTAGTGCCTGCGGTGCTTGCACTCAGCGTGGATTGACTTGCTCTTTGAAGCATCAGATACACGCTAGCTACCGCCAATTTTGAGTAGATAATTGGTAAAATTAACTTGTGCATGGCACTCTTTCTTAATCCTGGCGTTATGTAATACCGCTCATTTCTAACCTATAACAATTGGGCGCGGGGGTTATATGTTCTGAATGAAACAACCCTTTCGTCTGCATTTAGCACCTGCGGCTTCCTGTGACATTCCATGTCAGAACACCCATTGGGGAAACAATCTACGTGCGCAGTTAACGCAGTGAGCGCTCACCTGACGTCCGCTATTAATCTATGACCGATTATAAGACCAGGTTGGGACGCTGTTGATCAATCTTTAGCCAATAATCCGGCCGATAATGCGTGGAAAACCACCCGCAAGACGAAGGATAACCACCTAAAGGCCCCGATTCGGTCATCCAGGGGCTCCTGACCCGCAATCCAAAGCTCGGATCGATGGCGCAATGCTCGCCCACATGAGGGGCTGCATAGACAAGTATCAGATTTGTGCGAATTGATATCTTTGTGAGTTAAAGTTGTTTGACGTTATCACCATTTATTGGCCCATGGAGTAAGACGCCGACCAAATCAAGGGGAATAGCCTGCTGCCCCTTCCTCCATGGCAAGATATATTGCTATATTATTCCTTGTCATTGCGTCCTTGGTTGATTTGCGGGGTAAAGGATTGTGCCTTTTGAATCACAACGCGTTAATCATAGAACATTTATCGAGCTGGAGAATATCTGTTCGTCTGTCGCAACTGTCTGTATAAAGTTTAGGGTCCAATCTATTATGGGCGATATCTCCGGTGTTATTTAGGTTCCAGTTCGTTTTGTTTCTCCATAAGCTTAAATCCAAATCTCTCAATAACACTTCCACTCATGATATGCAGCAGTGTTTAGCAAAACACATTGATCTTGTTTCTTAAACCAACTTTCGATCATTGCCAAGTCAATACTCTCTGATTTGTCCACTGAATAGGCATGCTCCACTATCCGGCCATCCCCGAACCAATTGTCGAAGTGCATCTGCAGCCGTTTGGAGCGCATTAACCAGTGGAACACAACGAGAGTGTCATTGAAGATCACATCTTTAGCGCTCCATCGATTGTCCTCTTTTTGTTCACCATTTGGGACGGGACACTCAGACATGTTGTGTGGGTCAAACTAAAGTTGTGTCAGGGCCTATCGGAATAAGGAAGACTCTACTACCTCTTCTGTGTCCTCAATACGATGCGCCTGAAGGGCTTCACTTACTTTGTGGGTTTTAAATAAACATCGTGATCAAATCATGTACCATAGATGCTAAGGTTTGTCACAGCCTAAATCGACTATAAGTGGAGACAGAGATCTGTGAAATTCTAAACCCACTATATCTGATCGATATATTACCTGGCGGCCCTGAGATGGGTAAGCAGTATTGAGGTAGTACCATTGGCGGCGTCAGAGTGTATCTCCGAATGTGGCTTTTTTTTTTCTTTCTTTTTTTTAATTTCTCCGGATGGGTCCAGAGTCGGCCGTGTTCGGGCGTTGGCCTGGGGGCGGGTCTTATGAGGTTTTATAGGCCCTTTATCAGCCAGTTATTGCTTTATACTCGTGCAGACCTCTATCCTCGCCCCTACATTTCAATAGGCAAGGATTTGAGTTGAACGAGTGATACGATATGATCGGATATGAAGGCCATACCGAGCGGGCGTTCTTCACGTCTTAAGGTGTACCTCGTCCTTCTTCTCATCTACGCACCAGGGCAATAGACTACGGCGTCCTTCTGGTGACCTGACCTGGGAGTTTTCGTACTTCGTGGTTATCATTAACCGCAATAATCCCTGGTGTTTCGGCGATAACATCATTATTGGGTAGATAATATAGGTAGAGGACGTTCTCGCATATGTGATATACAGGATTCCTCAAGGCCTACATAATTACCTCGAGGCAGTGCGAGGTACAATCCCCTCGCCACCATTCTGTCCACACCTTATCATCTTAAGATGTCCACACGATCTTGATCTAGTACCTATTCTTGCAGGACTCAATGTGACTTGGAATTTGAGTTGCGGGATTGTAATCGATCTGTATCAGCTAACACAGGTTGGAATGAAATTTCCTGGCATGGCTTGAGTTCACCGGTGCAGTGGACTTATTCCGGCGTCCGAAATCCGCAACCAATGGCAGATTTATTACTGATGAATTATCAATCGATTTTATAACTACCATCCAACAAGATAAATCACACGCCGGGTGATCTACACCAGCATATTTTTGTGATGGCTGCGGGGTACAGTCGTTCCTTTGACCGATTCGGTAGCAGGAACAGACCGAAGACCTAATAAAGGTAAACATGCATAAGTGATTGGTATCATGGATAAAGCAAATACTACCGTAATACAGATTGCCCAGTGGAGAAGGTTCGTGGCTGACTGGTCCAATCGAGAATTATCCACATAACCAAATAAGCGACTTTTGTGACTGGTCGGTCGGACTAGAATCAGTGTTAGAACGAATCGATATGAGATACTTGCCTTGGACTGACTTTGAATTCTCTCGTAAGAATTACACAAGCAATAATAGTGGTTTGGAGAGCCAGTTTTGGGCGGTAATAACCAGGCTTCATGTTGTGGGGTTGTTGGGCTTGTGAGTAAAAAAGAAAGCTCCTCTCACTGGATGTAGAACTCATCACTCTGATCTACGCGCCGTGCTGGAGCACGTAGCCAAGTTTTGTAAATTATGTAGCTCTGTAACGTGACCATATCTGAACCGTCACCCATTTCCTAGCTGAGGACTTTTCCATCTCACCTTGTCCTCGTCATCATCTTCATCTCCATCTCCGTCATCACTACTATCCTCCTCCCCATCACCATTATTATGAACACGATAGCCATCAGCATCAGGACCAGCCTCGTGGCTATCTTCTTGGCTGGTGTTCATCATGATGCCTCGTCGGGGAGGTTCTGGGTCCGGCCTGGAGCTCGAGTGAGCCACTATGAACCAGAGCGATTCCGATTAACTTCCAGTTATCGAAGGCAACGAGTACAGATTGGGCAGGAGGCTATAGAAAGAATATAATCACTAATGTATACGGCTCGGGATAAGTTAGGTAGGAAAGCTAGTGGAAAATCGCCTCACCTCTCTTCTCCCTCACCTCCTACCCCTCCATACCTTCCGCCCACTTACCAAACTATATGCAGACATCCACCGCTATTTAATGCCTCTCGGCGCGATATAAAACCGAATCGACACGAAAATGCAAAATGAAAAAGATCCTGCACGGTTTTATGAGGCACTCTCCGCCGTGATGACACTAAAACAGCGCGGCTGTGAACTAAATAGAATCGAGACCAGAGTCTTGAATTGACAGACATTCCGTTCCAAGATGACCTCTATACCTATAGTAAAGATGACCCATTTGGATAAAGGGAACAAAATGATTTCGCCGACTGATATTTTCGCAGTTTTTTGTTTCGTCTTCCAGAGCTGTTCCCTCCCGACCTTCCGCTTACATAGGTACTGAATTTTCCTTTCTCAGGAAGCCCAGCGAGGACGGTACCTCTAACGCTAATCGGACAAATTCGATGTTTCCTATGATAGCGATAGCCATAAATTAGCATTGAATATAGAAGGCTCTTCGAGACCAACAATGCAAAGTCCTCGAGAGATATGTATCATTCGGATACACACTGTGATCATTTGAAAAAAATCGGGAAAGAGCAAAATAATTTGAGGAACTCAAACCAAATATATCTATTATTGGCAAGGAACTGATAACTTTGTTGTCAAAAACCGGAGGAGAGGATAACGTTGTTGGGTATATATCGAAATAGGTAGCTAAAGAGTATCCAAGTCCCCTTCATGTCCCGGATGACTTTAACTGATAATATCGCATAAAAGGTAGTATGATAGTGGAAATTCATGCTATTAGAACCAGGCATTAAGAGTCTTCTCAATTATCAATATAACTGCCTCTTTGGCTCCCTCGCGGGGGTAGGCTTGGTATATTATGGTATATGAAGCAGCATTATAATACCAATATAAATTGCGGGAATGGCTTCTGGAATTCAATCCAAGTATCAAAAGATAACATGGACCTTTAAGGATCGACTTGGGATTTTTCCCTCTCTCTGGAGCCTTTAGAAGCTTGAGGGAATGATAAGCCTGAGTTAATACTTTGAGTAGAAATAGGCACAAGACGAGACGAGACTAGACAGATTTTGGTATGTCCTATCTCGTTTCGGAAGATCAATTCCAGGTCTTGAAAGTTTCGAGATCCAAGGTAAGTCTCCTCAAAACCTTGAGGCCTAGTCTCGAGATGATTCGTCTCGTGCTCATTACCAAAGTCGAGGTCGTTCGGCGGATCAGCTACAATACCGTCACTTTTGATATTTCAGCCATGCTAAGTAGGTCCGTGGCTGAGTGCAGGAGGTTCTGTTAAGATTGACAGAACCTCAACAACCTCAATTCCGGGTTGCATACATTTAATGAAGTAATCAATCAACCAAATCAACAGCCTCAATTGCGGATGCCTTCTTCGAGTGGCACCGCGAAGGATCAGAAGCAGCACCAATTACAGTCTGAACTCGTAAGACTTACGGTGTCAGGTAGATATATACGTGTCAAAATACTTTATATTAGCCTTGCTGGTAAGTCGATAGATGTGGATGGGGGAGAACCTTTGGCAAAGTCTCTCTTTTTACTCTCAGGATACAGAGCTAGAATAAGTCCAATTTTGGTACGTAACTCATTAGAGTTGATCCCAGCAATAAAAAGACCCGCCCATTATAGTTTTGTCAAGTATAATTTCCAAGCTGACAGCCAAAATTGGATTAGGCTAACTCGCGAGACCCAAATTACATGGCCAGAGCCGTTCATTGAAGATCTCAAATTATCTTTGGGACCTAGGTCAGATAAAGCTTTGTATGAAGAGGTTGTCAGCAAAAAAGAAGTCAAACGGCTACATATTTTATCGAATCTAAAGGTCGCAGTTCCATGTCTGCCAAACAACTAGGATTAGTAGTCCGCCAATCATGAGAGCATGGAATCATAAAGACGGAGTGGGCCGGCCCGACAAAATCCGAGAGTTCGGTCAGCATACCGCACCATGTGAAAGACGGAGGTAGATCCGGGTCTGGAGCTAGTACCCGTCCTATCATCATCGAGATTACAAACTGTTGCCTGGCCCGAGCTATGGTGCCATTTGGAAGTTAAAGTGCGCTAGATGAGTCCTAGAACATCCAGGTATGTTCTGATGAAGCTAAACCAGTTGGCCGGTATCGTTACAGCCCGAAGCAATATCGTCTGCCTTCTCTGAACGTTCAGCGAATGATATATATCGACTGCGCACATGGGTGATTTTGGATAGCCTGCTTCGATCATGTCGGGTAATTTACATGCGGCCAGACAGTAAGGCCACAGTTCAACTGATGATCATATGTAGCAGGCGCAATTACCTCTTACGCTTCTTGGTGGATCTTGTTCGATCTTGGTACATGTGACGTAAGACTGTGAGAAAATAAATATTACCCCTTGCGTCAGATCAAAACTCCGATCACCAACAATAGTTTTTCTACAGTCGGGTAGGTCAGAAATATTTCTTTACGTCTTGATATAGAGCAGACAATTATACTTCTAAGTATGGTCTCCTATACATATCTTTTGCAGAATTAAGGGCTCAAAGATTTATATCTCTTACTATAGAGGTTATAAAACCTCACCTTTTGCCTCTTATCATTCTCTGTGTGCTGCAATCAGAGAGGTCCAGAATTTTTATTTCGTTGAGATTATGGTTCCGTTGCCCGAAGGTCAATGATACCTTTACAAAGATTATCTCAAGCTAAACTCATTTAGGTATCTACCAAAGCTGATAATTATAGATATCAGGTAGTAGTCCATGAGTTCTGAAGAAGATACGTCTCAAAACACCATGTTGAGATAGTTCGAGAATGAATCTTGTGAAACCTCCCTGCTTACTGACCTTCACCGATCGCTATGATGTGCGCATTATCTTCACATAAGAGAGCTCGAAACCATCGTTATAGAATGATTATGGAAAAGCAGATATACCGGTTGTGATCAAATCCATCGCGAGGCTTACTATCCGGTCCGTGTTCGCGAGCTTGAGAGGTTCAACGTGAGAGGTAATAGTAGCACATCCCTGTTGTATGTAACCTTGAGGGGTTAATGACACTAGTGTTACACTAAATAGAAACTTCTGGAATATCTACAATACCGTGTATGTATTATTGGGTACAAACTCGGACCAAGAAATAGATAGTCGTAAGGCACCCCATCCGTCCTCAAGCAGTAAAGAACCACGTGTACCTATCATGTGTGTAGACCTATGTATATGGACAGAATGCAAGGTCTGCATACCAATGAAAATGGGCTCTGTCTACACCTATTGTAGCTATTGTATGTACGTGGCACAGACACAGATTGTCATATGGAAGAAGAGTCATACGTCTCGGCACTTCGGAGCTGATGAAAGTAGTCGGCGAACTATTCACTGACAACAGAGGAAGAAGCTTTAATGTTTAGCTTATAGGCAACGACTAGATAATATGTGAGTGTGAGCATTGATATTGATGTACCTGGGGTTAAGCACTCTTGGGAGTCTCGAACCATACGGGGTCCTTCCACCAATCATTGCGTACGGTAGCTCCCGAGAACTTTGTAGTGAATTGCTTTTATTCTAAGGTGGTCGTAGGGGTCAATGTGAGCGTGGCTCGCCGAAAGCGAGTGTGGGGTAAGAAAGGTATATATGTCTTATCTCACGTTTCAGATGTCGGAAAATGCACTTCGCTCATCATGTGCGTCTCCCCGGTCAGAGTCCACGATCATCTATTGATTTTTAAGATCCGTGCTGCCTCGGTACTTTCCGTGCGTGTATAATACTGTGTGGCCACCATAGAGGGGTGCTAAGCCTCAGCATTATTGGACTCAAGTGCTTAAATATATGCATGGAAAAGAATTTGCTGGAATATATGCATAGTTGCCTAAATAAACACCCAGAATACATACTCGTGATAGTGAAAGTTAAGGTCCTTGGGTCAAATGAACACAATTATAGCTGATTATCTTTCTCTTTTCTCAAGTGCTAAGTCAGAACTTAATTTTTTGAGAACTTAGAAAAGCGCGGGACTGAGAACTGCTCTGTTTCTGTTAATACAAATAATTTCTTAATTAAAAATATACTTGGAACTTAAGCTAGTATTTGGATAGCTTCTCACGAGCTATTGCAATGCAAGCTCCATCACTTCAATATAACTAGACAACAACCTTTAACAAAGACTGAAAACTCAAAATACTATACTGATGAAGCAGTAGGCAAGGGTTATTCTACTACTCTTTTTTTTTGTACTTTTAAAAACTTAATTTGATTTTTTGGGAAAACATATGGAAACGAATTGGTATTTTTTTTCTCTTACTAATTTAGTCTAAATAAATATTATCCTGCATCGTTACATGCTTTGATAATTACTTGTTAGAGTTGGTTAATATTAGTTTATATATACCTTCAATGCATCAATTGTGTCTGTCCAATTGACCCGATTTGAGCGCTAGTATAACTTTAGTGAGGATCAATGGCTAACACTGAGGAAGCCTTGCAAACGTCTAAGCTACGATTTATGAAAATCCATCACTTGATGAACTAATATAAGATTTTGCCGGAGAATGTATCCGGGAATGCATTTCTGGACCTATTTTCATTTGAGATACACCTTTCCTAATATCTTTATCAAATCACTTAGAATACTACTATCACTGGTATATGGTTGTTTTATAACGATATATTGGTATCACAGTGGGATATTATGTTTGGGCATAAACAGGAACATCAGTGAAAAATAGGTTTCCTCAAGACGAATTCCGGCACCCAGATGCCCAAATTCGTCTTTTGCCCCCAAAACCTTATCTTTTGGCTCTGGAATCTCATCGTATATCCCTCTATTTTTGGCCGCTCATCATTCAACCACAAAACATTGTACATTTAGAGTTTCAATTACAAAACCGGTCATGCGATCTCATTAGCTCTTCTTTTGAATCAATCTATCCTACACTCATTTTATGCCAAATGTCCCCATATTCACTATCCGTCAAAAGACGAAGATGGCTCAATTGGGAAATCATCATTATTTGACTCAGAAATAATTCTCTTTTTAATAACTTATCATACTACTACAAATCTTATGTCTAAAATCCAAGTACAATATTCACTTCGTCTAAAATATCAACTCTAATGACCTCCCGATCCGTCTAATACCTTCCACCTAATATGCACAATACAATCTAGTGTGTCGAATATTTACTGTTTAACATGTCTAAGGACTCTCATCTAATTCCCGTTTGTCTTCTCCGTTTATCTTCCCTGTTCATCATAATCCTCCCTGCCTAAAACCTATTATCAGAAGTCTACCTGTCTAAAGTGTCCTCCTCTCTACCCTTCATGTCATCAGTATCATTATCAAATCTCAGTCCAACGTCCCGTCTTACTTCAGTAAATTGATCCGTATGTTAATAGATCGATCGTACTCTTGATAAACCATCTATTGTTCGTAGATAACATCGTCTCAGATATCAAATAAGTGGCGCCCAAAATGCTTTTTATGTTTACCACCTATCTATGGTCAGGAGAGCTTGAGCAGCGTGATACCCTTATTAGCCCGTGGTCGATGTTGGGGTTTCCATTGAAGTCTAGCTTCAATGATTGTATCGCAGCCAGAGGTCTGGCCCTTCTTCATCTTGAGTCCCTGAGCTTAAAGCTCTCGTGGGATTCTCCAGTACCTATAACGCGGGTCTATGGACGATGGAATATAGTGCCAAGGAATACAACCGAGATGAGAACGTAGTAGAAGATGTTCGTGACTATGAACTATGGGATGGTTCAATCCTGATCAGAGATCCAAGATGAGCCCTATGACGTAGAGTAGAACAAAAGTAATATTCGTAGAATAAATACAGAAGAAGAAGAAGAAACTTATATTGCTTTGAAGTACAAGACTTATCGCACGCCGACCCAACCACCTAAAACACGAACCGAACCGAACAAAAGAAAGAAAGAAAAGAAAACAACAAACGCAAACGCAAACGAACAAGAACAAGAACAAAACAAGCACAAGCGAGCACGAACAATAACGAGGAAATTCCAGAACAACACTCAACCAGAAAACCCATCAACAAGGAGAAATAACATATCTCAGCGGACTCGAGCGCTGGATCCATCAAAACAAAAAATAAACAACAAATTTAAAGAGTAAAAGGAAACTGCCCTTCCTAATCCCATCCCTAATCATTTTCTTCCATCCCCTCTTCCAGGTCCGCCTCCGCCTCCGCCGACTCGTACCATTTCGAGAGTTGAGATTGTTTCGCAAATTGTAGGATGAGGTCCGTTCTCAGGTTTGTAAACATCCAGTTTTCCCAGGTCATCGCTCCGGGGATCTTCTCTATCAGAGGGGTGCGGATTCGAGCCCACGCTGGGCATTCCATAAGTATGTGTTTCGCTGAGTTTTCCATACCACACTGGCATAGTTCGGGGTCTGTGTGTACTGCGTGTTTGTCGATTCGGGTGGTTTGGCACCGGATTCGAAATACTTTTTTTGCTTCTGTAAGGGTGAGTTTCGCAATCTTGGGATGGGGGCGGAATTCCCCCCGGTGGTGGTAGTTCGGTATTGGTTGTGTATTCCATTCTTCCAACAGGTGGTCGCGTGGTAGTTTATTTTGATTCCACTTGTCTCTCGCATTTCCGGGGGTTTGATATGGGAGTAGGAGGGAGGCGATTCGGTGTAGGCCTGTCCCTTTGATATTTGCTTCTCTGTATGGGAGGAGCTCGATCAGGGATTCGTTGTTGGGGTGGGTTGCGTCGGTGCAGAGTATTCTAGTTCCGTACTTTCTTGAGCGGTATGTCAGGAGATGTTCTAAGGGGGGGTAGTCCTGCTTCTCGGAGGTGTTTAGTTCTTTTAGTCCATCGTGGTAGGCCGGTGATGACCCGGGCGGCTTCATTGTATAGTGGTTCGAGGGATCTTGTGATGTGGTCTGCGCCGGTCCACCAAGCCTCGGATCCGTAGAGCAGGCTTGGGAGGAAGCCTTGCGTTATTAGGTGGTGGATTGTCTTAACCGTTATGCCTGGCAGGCGGGCAGTGTTCCGGATTTGGTGGAGGGCTTTAAGGCCTTTTGCGATCGCTGCTTCGATATGGGGCCGGAAGGAGACGGTCGGATCTATCCAGACTCCTATATATTTCAGCCTCTCCTTGGGGTATGTAGTGGTGTTGTTGATTTTGACTGGGAGTCGTGGTTGTTGTGTGGACGAAGTGGTGGGGCGGAAGAAGGTGAGGTCGGATTTATCCGGGTCGTATTTGATTTGGACTGGCTCGGCTTTTGTCACTCTTTCTCTCATACGTTCCTCCATTCTTTTGATTATGAAGCCTGGTGTTTTGGATATTTGCACCAGCGCATCGTCATCGATATATGTTGTGTCCATCTCTTTCGGGTTGCTTGTTGGGTCCAGGATTACTCCGGCATAGATCATAAATAGTACCGGGGACATGGGGCTACCTTGCGGCACTCCAGATTCGTAGGGCTGTGGTTCCTCTAGCTCATGGTTAAATTGGAATTGTAGTTTTCTGCCGGTGTTGAATTCCTTGCCCCATTCTGTTAGATAGGTGGGGAATTTTTGCTGGTGCATGATTTCTGCGAGGAGTAGGTGGTCTACACAGTTAAATGCTCCCTGGATGTCGTTGGTTAGGATCGCTGGTCTGTCCCGCCGTGCAACTCCGGTGCTGTTTTTCAGTAGTAGGTTTTGTTGTATTGGTGTTAGGGTTCTTAGGAGGGCGTCGATCGCTGAGATGGTTGGTCTCCCTCCAAATTGATTCGCGGTGAGTGTGCCTAGGATTTCCCCAGAGGTGCAGAGTCTTTGAGCCACTATTTTCTCCAGGATTTTGCTGAAGCATTGTAGAAGGGAGATGGGCCGGTAGGCTTTTGCTTTATGGTAATTCGCTTTGCCGGGTTTCGGGATCGGGAGGCATTTTGCTATTTTCCATTCCGCTGGATGTACTCCGTGCCGAAGCATGGCGGAGAACATGTCTTGGATCAGAGTTGTATTTGCTTTGACTATTGCTTTGATAAAGATATAGGGAATGCCATCCATCCGGGCCGGTCACCGAGTGTACCGGGAGTAGTCAATTGCTTTCTTGAGTTCTTCAGGGGTGACTATATCGAAGGTGTTGCGAAGGTCAAAAGAGGGGGGTCTAATGTTTAGGGGGGGGTGGTCGGGGGATGTCCATTTTGTGGGGAAGAGTTGGGCTCTTAGAGCTTGGCATTTCCCCGCAAACGATTCTTCACCTTGTATAGTTGGTATGATTGTGTCTCTTCTCCTTCCTACATTTAGGATTCTCCAGACCTCACTACCTTTCGCTTCGTTCATCGTCTTTTCCCGCTGGTCTGCTTTTGCTTTCCGGATCATGACAGTCCATTCTCTGCAAGCCTTCCGGTGCCCCTCCACGTGGTTGGGTTTCCTTGTATTTCTCGCCTTCCTCTCTGCCGAGTTTACCCTTGCCTTCATTTGTTTCATTTCGTCTGACCACCAGGAGTTAGCTCTTACACCCTCCTTCGAGAGTGGCGTTACTATGTTGATTGTTGACTTGACCAGTTCTAGGAAGAATTCGACAGTTTGTTCCATGTGTTCCTTAGTTTCCCATGCTTCTGCAGGGAGGGAAAGGTTTGATATGTGGTTTTCCAATAGCTTCCAGTCTGTTTGTCGCCAAATTCGTCTTGGTACAAAGGGTGGTTTTTCCAGGTGTAGATGGATAGAGGTTCTCCCGTGGTCTGAGCCCGCTCCGTAGGGTTCAGTGCTCCATCGTAGGTTGTGGTCAAGTATTGGGCCTTTTACAAATGTAAGGTCGATGATTGTAGGCCTTTTCCCTCTGTCTCCAGGGAAGTGCGTGTAGACTCCTGGTTCATTCAGGAGGGTCAGTTTCTGTCAGATTATCCATTGTTTCAGCTGTGCACCGTTGGCGCGGTCTGCTCGAATGTTGTTTCTGTATTCATGTGAGGTTACTCCGTACCACATTTGGTGGTGGCAGTTGAAGTCTCCCATTACTAGGCAATTGTCGAGGGTTTGGATTGTTTTTGCTATTTGGGCGAAGGGGCATGCTGGGTCGGAGGCCTTATAGATTCCTTTGCAGTTTAGACATCTGATTGGGGTGTGGGTGCATTTATATCCTCCCTGGCATTCATTGCATGGGTGGAAGCTGGTGAGGTGATCTCCGGCGCAATGGCCGCATTTCCCATTGTTCTTGCATTTCTCCTGGCAGTGGCCATATTCGAGGCACTTCGCGCACTGGGTATCTGGGAAGGTTGGGAGGAAGGCCTCGATATGGCAGCTTCGGTTAAAGAGGGATAGGAATTTGACCCCTAGTGTTTCCATTGTGATTTGTCCTGGGAGTGCGACGACCATTGATGAGTGGGTTTTTCCCATTCGAGTCTCTGCTCTGGAGATCCAGCGGGGAACCTGTGCAAGTTGGAAGTTCTCTCCATAGTTGCTTCTGATTTCGGATGCTACTAATTGTCCTGCCTCGATGCCCTCCCCGATCGTTGTGGGGATTCCGTGGAGGAGGAACTTTGACTATTTGGAGTTTGCGCGGATTTTGGCGACCGGTACTTGTAGGGGGAGGAGGGCCTCCTCAATTTCTTTGGCATATTCCATTGCCTTTGTTGCTGGGGTGACGAATTTTGTTTCCAGGATGAAGTTGTCTTTGGCTGTTCTCCTTGCTGAGATGAAGTGGCAAGATTCGTCCTGAATTCTTGCGTTGACCAGGGTCCTGATCTCGGAGGGGTTAACGTCGGATGGGGCAGTGGTTTCAACAATGATCTCTCTGTTGATTTTGGTATACTCTGGTTTGAAGAGGGGGTCCGCTTTTGGCTTTGCAGGCTTCTTTCTTCTTTCGACAACCTGGAATTTTTCTTGGGCAGGACCGGCTGCCGAGGCCACGGCGGCCCAGGTGCCTGCTTTCCATCCACGAGGTTGGGGGGGTATGGGTGGGGGGACCTGAGGAGCTGCCTGTGGCGCTGCTTGGAGGGTTGTTTGGGGAGCCGCTGGAGGGGCCGTTCTCTGTCTTTGTTGCGGTTGCGGTTGTGGATGTTGTGGTTGTTGTTGCTGTTGTTGTTGTTGCTGCGGTTGGGGCTTGTTAAGGAGGGAATGGATCGCCGAGTGCATATTGGTGATCATCATTGTCTGTGCCTCAATTTGATGTTTCAATGTTTCCACCGTTCTCCGGAGTGTAATCGATTGCTCTTCGAGGATTTCAATTCTGTCGGAGGGAGGGCAGATCTGGCTGGTTGCATGTCTAATGGCCCAGGTGATGTAGTTCAGATCGGTCTGGGTGTGGGTAGTATGGGGGACAGTGCTCGGATAGAGATAGTCAATTCTTGGTTGGTAGGGGTCGTTGTAGTCGGATTCTGTTGCAAAGGTTGAGGAAAATTCCTGTTCCTGTGCTTCGGGTGGGGTTGGGTTGGGATTTTGGGTATTCCTGTTCTGTGGGGGGGCTGTCCCTTGTGGGGTCGACTGGGTGAAAAAGGACTGGAGTGAAGCTTGCTGCGATATGACTGAATGTCCGGTTCTTTCAGCGACGTGGGTTGATGTTTCGGATAAGTTTCTTTTCCTTCCTTTCGGGAGGTCAAGACTGGAGAATTCTTCGCTGGAAGCCAGTTTTCGTAGGGTTTCTTTCGCTTGGAACAACAAACGTGACTGTACGGTCAGGGGCGAGGAGGTTCAGCCTGGTATGGTATACCAGGGTAAACCAAAGTAATGAGAGGTAAAAGGTAGAGCAAGTAGAGTATACGATAATAAAATGTTTTTCGAAGCGAGCTTTATTGTCAGGAAGCTTTGCGAGCCTTAGCGAGCCGGTAGAATACAGAGAGAGAGAGAGAATCTTATATTGCATAGAAGCCGAAGCTTATCGCACACCTAACTACCCGACTACAACCTCCACCGACTAACCCGAAAGCAAAAACGAAGTACAAAACTAACTACCGCAGCTACGAGAACTACGTACATAAGTAAAATAAAACGACGCACGAAGAGGGCGCAAATAACAAGTGGTACAGGTAAGCAGAATCTAAGCGACAACAAAGAAACCTTCCCGTAGTAAATAAGTAAGAACCCCAAACTTCTCCGTCAACTGCATTAGCGAGCACAATCCTAAACGTAGTGTTCAATCGAAACGATATCATTACCAACGTTCCCGGTGTCATATCTGTGGACGAACCTTAACAGTACTGGGCAACCACGCGCACGAAGGCAGGAGAGGCCAACCGCAACAGCGTCAGGTGTGAAAGCGAGGGGGGGGTGAGTCGAATGTGGGTCCTCGGGCATCTGGTTGTCAGGCAGCGAGGGATTGAGGAGTGGTGACCGGTAGGTCAGGTAAGAATGGGTGGGGTCGTCGGTCCCTGGAGCAACGGCTAAAGACTGTGCCCGAGTCGTGTTTGAAGTGGTGTCCTCTGGAGGGGACATGCAAAAAGGGGTGAGCTGGAGGCTCAGTATGTATGGGGGTCGCAATCGAAAGTGCCGACCGTGTTGTGTTGAGGGTGGTCTCGGAGACCGGTTGGGTTGGGGTGAGGGGAGCGGGCCGCCTCGGTTAAAAAGTGGGTGGCCTGTTTAAGGCCGATAAAGAGGGGTAAGGTCACGGGACCTCGGGTAAAAAATTTGACGATAGTTTCGCGACCGAGAGGTCGCTAACTTCGCGGGCTGTCGAGCGCTTTGGCAGTAGGTTCTCGCTGACTAGAGATTACTGACAGTGTGTGTACCCAACGTGTGGGATCACTCGTGCGATGAGTGAAAGTAAGGAGGGGCGAAGACGGCTTTCGAAAGTAGCCGTTATTTTGGCGAGGGGTGAACGGTGGACGCGACCCGTGAGGGCACCGAACGAGCAAAGAATGAGGGGTGTCGAGCGAGGGAAGTTCAGGGACCGAAGCAATTCGAGAATCAGTATAACTCCATCTCGGGGGGAAAGAAATCCTATCGCGAGCCAGAGGCGAGCGAGTAGAATGCAGAAGAAGAAGAAGAAGAAACTTATATTGCTTTGAAGTACAAGACTTATCGCACGCCGACCCAACCACCTAAAACACGAACCGAACCGAACAAAAGAAAGAAAGAAAAGAAAACAACAAACGCAAACGCAAACGAACAAGAACAAGAACAAAACAAGCACAAGCGAGCACGAACAATAACGAGGAAATTCCAGAACAACACTCAACCAGAAAACCCATCAACAAGGAGAAATAACATATCTCAGCGGACTCGAGCGCTGGATCCATCAAAACAAAAAATAAACAACAAATTTAAAGAGTAAAAGGAAACTGCCCTTCCTAATCCCATCCCTAATCATTTTCTTCCATCCCCTCTTCCAGGTCCGCCTCCGCCTCCGCCGACTCGTACCATTTCGAGAGTTGAGATTGTTTCGCAAATTGTAGGATGAGGTCCGTTCTCAGGTTTGTAAACATCCAGTTTTCCCAGGTCATCGCTCCGGGGATCTTCTCTATCAGAGGGGTGCGGATTCGAGCCCACGCTGGGCATTCCATAAGTATGTGTTTCGCTGAGTTTTCCATACCACACTGGCATAGTTCGGGGTCTGTGTGTACTGCGTGTTTGTCGATTCGGGTGGTTTGGCACCGGATTCGAAATACTTTTTTTGCTTCTGTAAGGGTGAGTTTCGCAATCTTGGGATGGGGGCGGAATTCCCCCCGGTGGTGGTAGTTCGGTATTGGTTGTGTATTCCATTCTTCCAACAGGTGGTCGCGTGGTAGTTTATTTTGATTCCACTTGTCTCTCGCATTTCCGGGGGTTTGATATGGGAGTAGGAGGGAGGCGATTCGGTGTAGGCCTGTCCCTTTGATATTTGCTTCTCTGTATGGGAGGAGCTCGATCAGGGATTCGTTGTTGGGGTGGGTTGCGTCGGTGCAGAGTATTCTAGTTCCGTACTTTCTTGAGCGGTATGTCAGGAGATGTTCTAAGGGGGGGTAGTCCTGCTTCTCGGAGGTGTTTAGTTCTTTTAGTCCATCGTGGTAGGCCGGTGATGACCCGGGCGGCTTCATTGTATAGTGGTTCGAGGGATCTTGTGATGTGGTCTGCGCCGGTCCACCAAGCCTCGGATCCGTAGAGCAGGCTTGGGAGGAAGCTTTGCGTTATTAGGTGGTGGATTGTCTTAACCGTTATGCCTGGCAGGCGGGCAGTGTTCCGGATTTGGTGGAGGGCTTTAAGGCCTTTTGCGATCGCTGCTTCGATATGGGGCCGGAAGGAGACGGTCGGATCTATCCAGACTCCTATATATTTCAGCCTCTCCTTGGGGTATGTAGTGGTGTTGTTGATTTTGACTGGGAGTCGTGGTTGTTGTGTGGACGAAGTGGTGGGGCGGAAGAAGGTCAGGTCGGATTTATCCGGGTCGTATTTGATTTGGACTGGCTCGGCTTTTGTCACTCTTTCTCTCATACGTTCCTCCATTCTTTTGATTATGAAGCCTGGTGTTTTGGATATTTGCACCAGCGCATCGTCATCGATATATGTTGTGTCCATCTCTTTCGGGTTGCTTGTTGGGTCCAGGATTACTCCGGCATAGATCATAAATAGTACCGGGGACATGGGGCTACCTTGCGGCACTCCAGATTCGTAGGGCTGTGGTTCCTCTAGCTCATGGTTAAATTGGAATTGTAGTTTTCTGCCGGTGTTGAATTCCTTGCCCCATTCTGTTAGATAGGTGGGGAATTTTTGCTGGTGCATGATTTCTGCGAGGAGTAGGTGGTCTACACAGTTAAATGCTCCCTGGATGTCGTTGGTTAGGATCGCTGGTCTGTCCCGCCGTGCAACTCCGGTGCTGTTTTTCAGTAGTAGGTTTTGTTGTATTGGTGTTAGGGTTCTTAGGAGGGCGTCGATCGCTGAGATGGTTGGTCTCCCTCCAAATTGATTCGCGGTGAGTGTGCCTAGGATTTCCCCAGAGGTGCAGAGTCTTTGAGCCACTATTTTCTCCAGGATTTTGCTGAAGCATTGTAGAAGGGAGATGGGCCGGTAGGCTTTTGCTTTATGGTAATTCGCTTTGCCGGGTTTCGGGATCGGGAGGCATTTTGCTATTTTCCATTCCGCTGGATGTACTCCGTGCCGAAGCATGGCGGAGAACATGTCTTGGATCAGAGTTGTATTTGCTTTGACTATTGCTTTGATAAAGATATAGGGAATGCCATCCATCCGGGCCGGTCACCGAGTGTACCGGGAGTAGTCAATTGCTTTCTTGAGTTCTTCAGGGGTGACTATATCGAAGGTGTTGCGAAGGTCAAAAGAGGGGGGTCTAATGTTTAGGGGGGGGTGGTCGGGGGATGTCCATTTTGTGGGGAAGAGTTGGGCTCTTAGAGCTTGGCATTTCCCCGCAAACGATTCTTCACCTTGTATAGTTGGTATGATTGTGTCTCTTCTCCTTCCTACATTTAGGATTCTCCAGACCTCACTACCTTTCGCTTCGTTCATCGTCTTTTCCCGCTGGTCTGCTTTTGCTTTCCGGATCATGACAGTCCATTCTCTGCAAGCCTTCCGGTGCCCCTCCACGTGGTTGGGTTTCCTTGTATTTCTCGCCTTCCTCTCTGCCGAGTTTACCCTTGCCTTCATTTGTTTCATTTCGTCTGACCACCAGGAGTTAGCTCTTACACCCTCCTTCGAGAGTGGCGTTACTATGTTGATTGTTGACTTGACAAGTTCTAGGGAGAATTCGACAGTTTGTTCCATGTGTTCCTTAGTTTCCCATGCTTCTGCAGGGAGGGAAAGGTTTGATATGTGGTTTTCCAATAGCTTCCAGTCTGTTTGTCGCCAAATTCGTCTTGGTACAAAGGGTGGTTTTTCCAGGTGTAGATGGATAGAGGTTCTCCCGTGGTCTGAGCCCGCTCCGTAGGGTTCAGTGCTCCATCGTAGGTTGTGGTCAAGTATTGGGCCTTTTACAAATGTAAGGTCGATGATTGTAGGCCTTTTCCCTCTGTCTCCAGGGAAGTGCGTGTAGACTCCTGGTTCATTCAGGAGGGTCAGTTTCTGTCAGATTATCCATTGTTTCAGCTGTGCACCGTTGGCGCGGTCTGCTCGAATGTTGTTTCTGTATTCATGTGAGGTTACTCCGTACCACATTTGGTGGTGGCAGTTGAAGTCTCCCATTACTAGGCAATTGTCGAGGGTTTGGATTGTTTTTGCTATTTGGGCGAAGGGGCATGCTGGGTCGGAGGCCTTATAGATTCCTTTGCAGTTTAGACATCTGATTGGGGTGTGGGTGCATTTATATCCTCCCTGGCATTCATTGCATGGGTGGAAGCTGGTGAGGTGATCTCCGGCGCAATGGCCGCATTTCCCATTGTTCTTGCATTTCTCCTGGCAGTGGCCATATTCGAGGCACTTCGCGCACTGGGTATCTGGGAAGGTTGGGAGGAAGGCCTCGATATGGCAGCTTCGGTTAAAGAGGGATAGGAATTTGACCCCTAGTGTTTCCATTGTGATTTGTCCTGGGAGTGCGACGACCATTGATGAGTGGGTTTTTCCCATTCGAGTCTCTGCTCTGGAGATCCAGCGGGGAACCTGTGCAAGTTGGAAGTTCTCTCCATAGTTGCTTCTGATTTCGGATGCTACTAATTGTCCTGCCTCGATGCCCTCCCCGATCGTTGTGGGGATTCCGTGGAGGAGGAACTTTGACTATTTGGAGTTTGCGCGGATTTTGGCGACCGGTACTTGTAGGGGGAGGAGGGCCTCCTCAATTTCTTTGGCATATTCCATTGCCTTTGTTGCTGGGGTGACGAATTTTGTTTCCAGGATGAAGTTGTCTTTGGCTGTTCTCCTTGCTGAGATGAAGTGGCAAGATTCGTCCTGAATTCTTGCGTTGACCAGGGTCCTGATCTCGGAGGGGTTAACGTCGGATGGGGCAGTGGTTTCAACAATGATCTCTCTGTTGATTTTGGTATACTCTGGTTTGAAGAGGGGGTCCGCTTTTGGCTTTGCAGGCTTCTTTCTTCTTTCGACAACCTGGAATTTTTCTTGGGCAGGACCGGCTGCCGAGGCCACGGCGGCCCAGGTGCCTGCTTTCCATCCACGAGGTTGGGGGGGTATGGGTGGGGGGACCTGAGGAGCTGCCTGTGGCGCTGCTTGGAGGGTTGTTTGGGGAGCCGCTGGAGGGGCCGTTCTCTGTCTTTGTTGCGGTTGCGGTTGTGGATGTTGTGGTTGTTGTTGCTGTTGTTGTTGTTGCTGCGGTTGGGGCTTGTTAAGGAGGGAATGGATCGCCGAGTGCATATTGGTGATCATCATTGTCTGTGCCTCAATTTGATGTTTCAATGTTTCCACCGTTCTCCGGAGTGTAATCGATTGCTCTTCGAGGATTTCAATTCTGTCGGAGGGAGGGCAGATCTGGCTGGTTGCATGTCTAATGGCCCAGGTGATGTAGTTCAGATCGGTCTGGGTGTGGGTAGTATGGGGGACAGTGCTCGGATAGAGATAGTCAA